ACTATATTTATAAATAGATACTCCTGATATATTTACAACAATCCCACACTTATTTTACAATAAAATTAATTTTATTTTTATCACTATTTTTATTTTAAAATCATTTAAATTGAGTGAAGTATAGTAGACTATGGCTGCTGAATAATATATCAATAATTAAAAATTATTTTCAGCTTTTTAGTTCAATTTACTATTAAAGCGTGTTTTTTAGTTTTTTTAAACTATAATTTATTTTTTCATTTTTAGTTTTAGGCTTAATAAACAGTGATAGTGATCAGAATACGTAATATTTAGTATATTTTATTCGACAGTAAATCTAAAATTACTTATTTCATTCGTGTTCTCGTAACCTAGACATTATATTCAATGCATCATTACATGGAACTCTCCCTGTTAACTTTGAGCACGTTTCTCACCAATATATTGGATTGGGCGGGTTTTATGTGGATACAATTATCTATTTGGGTCCTGCAAGTCGAACCCCATTAAAAGTTATTTCAATCAAAATTATATATGAAGCCCAAAAATTTTATCGAAAATTGCAATTGGTTCATTATGCCGAGGTCAGATATCAATTTTTATTTCAATCGGTTTAATTTGAGTGAAATGACTGCACATGGCAGCCATCTTGTACAATGGTGGAACCCAAAAATGTTTTCGAAAATCTCAATCGCCATACCCTGCCGAGGTCAGATATTGATTTTTAACCTAATCGGAGAACATACAGATTTGCGGGGAGTGAGGTTATGTGGTGGTGGTGGTGGGGGGGTTAATCAGAGGGACACTTCGCTTCTACGCGGAGTTCGATCTTCAGTACATAAACGCACTTAGTAGAGAGGATAACAGGGGGGGGTTTAATTTTTTTGTATTGTCATCGGTCTTTATTTTACGTGTGCAAATTTTCCAATCAATTGGACGTCTTGAAGTGGGTGAAAATGGCGTTAAAATATTCCGTTACATAGATACATACATACAGGTCAAGCTAATAATAAAATAAATAATATTAAAAAATATCCTAAAAATGAAAGTAAAAAATAGGTCGTTAAAGTATTTAAATACAAATAATATATACATAATCATAACTATAATTGTACAAAGGAGTATGGAAAAAGGGTGGAAGAACTATTAGGGGAAGATCAATTTGGGTTTAGTAGAAGTAGAGGCCCTCGGGAGGCCATTCTAGCTTTACGGGTAATAATAGAGAAAACGATACAAAAAAGAAATAGTGCGTACATAGGATTCGTAGATTTAGAAAAAGCTTTTTAACAATGTTAAATGGCATAAGATGTTAAATATACTTAAAAATGTAGGGATGAGTTACAAAGATAGAAGAGTGATACTTAGTTTGTGTAAAGAGCAATATGCAGTTATAGAGATGGGGCTGCAACGTAGAGAAGTAAATATTAGGAAGGGAGTCAGATAGGGATGCACACTGTCACCGCTACTATTAAATCTATACATCGAAGACGCGAACATCATCATTAAAGACAGTACAACTGTATATACATAGGGGCAAAAGATTAATATGCTCACATTTACAGATAATATAGCAGTATTAGCATCTAGCAAGGAGTTAGAGATAGCTTTAAATAAAATGGAAGCGGTATTGACAAAACAGTACTGTATGAAAATAAATATGAACTAAAACAAAAATACTGGTGTGAAAAGGAAGAAAAAATAGGGAAAGAGCGAATATAAGGATAGGAGACTAACGATCAGAAGAAGTGGCAGATTTTAGGTATTTAGGAAGTCAAATAAGTCAGTACGGAAGGAGTAGTGAGGTATAAAGCAGGATAGCGCAGGGTCGACTCGCCTCAATAAAATGAAATCACTTCTATGCTCGCAAACGATTAATTTAGAAATTCGAAAAAGGCTGTTAGAGATGTATGCTTGGAGCATAGCGCTGTACGAGTGCGAAAAAGAAAATGTTAGAAGTGTTCGAAGTGTGGTGTTACAGGCGAATGAAGAGGGTACCATGGATAGAGAAGGTTAGAAATGAAGAGGTATTAGAAAGAATAGGAGAAAAGAGGATGGAAGTCAATAAGAAACAGTCGAGAGAGTTTAGTAGGACACCTTAGTCATAGACATACTAGAGGCAGAAACGAGAGTTAGGAGGGGTAGAGGTAGACCTAGATTAGATTACTGTTCGCAAATAGTTAAGGATGTGGGTTGTTCTAGTTTTAGGGAAATGCGAAGATTAGCTCAGGATAGGAAAGAGTGGAGGTACGT